CAGAAGTTCTTCCTGGAGTCGCGGTTAAAGCCCCTGTCGTGTGTTCGGGCCCGGTGGGGCCCGGTCCGACCCTCCCTGGGAAAAAACTCCATCAATAACGGCGCTTAAATTCGTTTCCCTCGCTCCAAACCCGCGTGGGGGTTTCCCCAGAGCTGGAATAACGGGAAGAAGCGGGGCTGACGGGCAGAGCTGCACGGCAAGGCCCTGAGGGGGGCAGCTCTGCTGGTTCCTGGGCCTTCCCGACCTCCCCTCTGGGTGAAGAGGGTCCTTGAGGTGATGGTTGGGTCCTTGGGACAATCCCTGCGTGTCTCCTTCCCCCTGTAGGAAGGTTTACAGCCCTGGTTACAGCCCTGGTTACAGCCCTGGTTACAGCCCTGTCTCCCACAGGTTGTGGCAGTTTATGGGACCCTCTCAGACCTGCTCTCCGTGGCCAGTAACAAGCTGGGAATCAAAGCCACCAGTGTTTACAATGGGAAAGGGGGACTCATTGATGACATTGCTTTGATCAGGTAAGGCTTACCCACTACCAGGTGAATCACAGGTGAAGAGACTTATCACCTTGTCAATCCTCAGTCAGTAACTTCCCTTCAGAATAGAAATGATCATTTCTAGCCAGGATGTCCAAAGGTTCCTTCATGCCTCAAGGTAAAATAAGACTGGTTTTTAAACTTCAAAGCATTTCTGTCCTGATGAATCAGAACTTGAGCTGCCTTTTGTGCCTTTTGGCATCCTCATGTGTTGATTCAGTGCAGTGTCTGCACCAGGAACATCCCCCTGTTCTGTTTTTTTGGAAAAGGAGACAAGCTCCAGCATGGCTTCCTAGGGTACTGCCATCATGGGGAGAAAAGCAACTATTTTGTCAAACTGAACTGGTTGAGCAACAGTGATCCCTACCTGGGTGCCACAGATCACATCTCTGCTGAGATCAATCATGTAACAATCCCCTGGAACCTGCAAAATTAAGACAAAAATCAGATACTGAAGCTCTAACTGATTATCATTTCCCTGAAACAAATCACAAGGGGTTCCTACTGCACTTAGATGACAAAAAAAAATTAATAGTAATCTTTTTGCTTTCTTTTTTTTCCCCTCTTCCTCCCCCTTTCAGGGATGATGATGTTTTGTTTGTCTGTGAAGGGGAACCATTCATTGGTAAGTCTCTAAATCTTCCATTTAACATATTGTTAAATGTAAGAGGTTTTATTTTGCTTCAGTTTAAACTTAAACTTATTTTCTGGTGTTTTGAGAAGATACCTCTTGCCCTGTGGAGGATTCAGAAATATTCACAGATTGCCTAAGAGTTCTTGTGTCTTTCTCCTCTGTGTAGATCCTCAGACTGATGGAAGACCTCATGAAGAGCTGACAGGGTCCCACACAGACTGGTTAACACTCAATGTTGGAGGCAGATACTTCACCACTACAAGGTCAGAAGGCAACTTAGCTGCTTTTGTCCTGGAAGCATTTGATTTCAGTAAATTAATTAGAGCAGCTGGGGAGGCTTCAGGTGCTCTTGCAAAAAAGCTAGAAGAAAAACTTGGTGTGAGGGATCTTCAGCTTTCTCTGCATTTCATATTTGCCACCACAGTTTTGCAACAAATTAATTCTTAAACCAGTTTAACATATGAAGTAGAATTGGCAAAAAGCCTCGACAGGGATAGATTTGTCCTTGGAATATTAGGTAATATATCCTTGGAATAAACTAATCCTTGTTATATTAGGTTACTTAGGTAACTAAGTGCTTTTTATTTAAACTATCTTTGACAATTCCTGAGGTCAGAAACATGTTTTTCTTTCACCCTGTGTGATCACATCAGTACAGGGTGGCAGCTGTTGGAATGCATGTCACACTGGAAGGACAGAAAACACCTAAGGAAAACATTCCATGTAGAAATAAAATGGCCTTGTCTTTTGTTTTGTAGGAGCACTTTGGTTAATAAAGAACCTGACAGCATGTTGGCCCACATGTTTAAAGACAAAGGTTAGTATATGAAAATAAACTTTCCTTTTTAAGCTAAGAAATGAGCAAGGCAGGCAAAAGGCACTTCCAGGTTGAGACTCAGTATGTTGAAATATCCAAAGTGTGTTAAAATATCAAAGCAGAATGTATCACTGGTGGGGTTTTGGTAATTGTTTACTTCTCCATTGCCCATGTAACACCATCTCACAAACTGAAAGTAGAACTTGCATCCATAGTCAATATTTTGGGGTTTGTCTTTGATTTGGGGTTTTCATCTGCTTCTTGCTCAGCTTTTTCAGCAGAATCAGTGGGCAAACACTATGAGGAAACAAGGGCAGACCAAAACCTTAATGCTGCTTTTATTCTAGCAATAATTCTTAATGTCCTTGATCAAATGTTTTAGTGATTTATAGCACAAATATATTTGTTTGAAGGTGATTTCCCTCCCTGCTTATTTTCCTTCCTTTTTCTCTTAAGAAACACTCTTTTAAGTGGAATTTTCATAACCCGGGGCCCTCTGCTAGTAACAATCTGAAACTGAAGCAAGTGCTCTTCTATTAATATCTCCAATTTAATTATATATATGTTGTGGAAACAGATGCTTGGGGAAATAAGCAAGATCATAGAGGAGCATTCCTAATTGACCGCAGCCCAGAGTATTTTGAGCCAATTTTGAACTATTTACGTCACGGACAGCTCATTGTAAATGATGGCATTAATTTGCTAGGTAGGTATTACCTGTGGGACATCTCCTGCATTATTATTATTACTCTCTAGAAGCTGAACTTTGCCCTCAGGTAAGCATGGTTAAAGGCAGTGGGATTTTTGTCTGCTCATCGGAATGGTTGGGATGTTTCTTTGGTGAATTGATTCTCCAAGCATTTTAATTCCACCTGCTTGGTTGAATAAAGATAATAATGTTGAAACTTGAGAGCATTAGGTTCTCCACACTGGTTTATATCCAGCTGTAATTCTGGATTTGGTATCTTTAACCCAATGCTGCTATTGGAAACATCCTGTCTGAGTTATTTTTGCCTTTAAGCTTCAAGCAAGCTCACTTGTCCTCTCTCCAGTTACCACTAATGCTATGTCTGTGGTTTGTCACTTTTATTAGTTCATGCATTTCTATAAGAAACTTCACCAAGTGACCAGTTCATCTTAGTCTGGCTAAAATGTATAACAAGTCTAAAAAGTAGGGGAAGTTGATGAAATCGATGTTCCTCCAGGAGTCGGGATGGATTCACCCCGAGTTTCTGGCATGCTGTTGGTGTGACCATAGCCTGCCTTCTCCAGAAAGGGAAGAAGAAAAGTGCTCTCTTGCTCAGCCACTCCCTGTCAGTAACAAACACTGCTTTGCTTTGTTAGGTGTTTTGGAAGAAGCCAGGTTTTTTGGTATCGATTCACTAATCGAACATCTAGAAATAGCTATTAAGGTAACTAGTTTTCTTTAATACACAAATGCACGTGTCCTGTTCTTCTGTGCAATCTATAATGTAGTTGTGTCTGTGTTAGCTTTTAAATATCTCTCTCAACAGAATTCCCAGCCAGCTGAGGATCATTCCCCCATCTCTCGGAAGGAATTTGTCCGATTACTGCTGGCAACTCCAACCAAGTCTGAGCTGCGATGTCAGGTGTGAAAATGCAGCTTTTTGTCTTCACCTCTAGTGTTGGTGCCTCGTGGTGAGATTTCCTGCAGCATCAGGTGACAGTGATGCCAGCAGGTCAAGGGAGGTTCTCCTCTCCTTCTGCTCTGCCCTGGAGAGGCCTCACCTGGAGCACTCTGCCCAGTTCTGGCCTCATCAGTTCCTGAAGGACAAGGACATGTTCCCGTGGGATCTGCTCTAGGGGATTCTGCTCTAGCATTGGGGGTTGGACTGGATGATCTCCAGAGGTGCCTCCCAACCCCCACCATGCTGTGATTCTATGATTTAAATTTAAAATGCTGATGCACCAGCATAACCAAGGATAATACTTGATAGCTTTGCATTTACATTTCATTAATCCTACATAATAGAACGAGGGGTTTGTGTATCTGTATCTTGTGTATATAAATACACAGGTACCTCATTCTCTTGACTGTTTTCTGGTCAGAGCTGCACCTTCTGTAACTGTTGGGCCTTCATGGTGTTGGTTGCAGGGTCTCAATTTCAGTGGGGCAGATCTCTCCCGGCTAGATCTTCGCTACATCAACTTCAAGATGGCAAATCTGAGCCGCTGCAACCTGGCCCATGCCAACCTGTGCTGTGCAAACCTGGAGAGAGCTGACCTCTCTGGCTCTGTGCTGGATGTAAGAACTCTTTGTGGCTTGGAAACTCTGGGCTGTCCTTTAGTCACTTGAAGGAAAGGGGAATTGGGATAAGCAGATACGTGTAAGGCAGGATTTTCTGCAGTTGTTCTGCTTAGATCACTTCAAAAGCTTTTTGAAGCTATTATAGTTTAAAAAAATGGGTCCTGGGTGAGAATTCTCTTCCTGATGAGAAAGAAGCTAGAGTGTAGCCAGTTCTTACACAGCCTCTCAGTAACAAGGCTCTTGTGCTTTATTAGGATTCAGTGCCTAAATAGAAATGCAACCTGTGCTCTCATCATTGTCAGTATTGCTGATCTTCATATTTTTATCAGTCTCACTGACTTGTCTACCTCTGTCAGTGTGCAAACCTTCAAGGGGTGAAGATGCTGTGTTCCAATGCAGAAGGAGCCTCTCTAAAAGGCTGCAATTTTGAAGATCCATCAGGCCTTAAAGCTAATTTGGAAGGTAAGAAGTTTTTGCCTGTTGGGTACTCTGTGGAAACTGATCCAGGTGTTGGTCAGTCTGTAGGGCATGGCAAAGGTTTGGCTGTGGTTTGTATAATCCATGTTTTCATGAGAGAGAGGCCTGAGTGTGGGACTGTATAATGACATTGCAACTTCTACCTTGACCTCTGTCCATGTACATGGCTCTGAGGAAGCATCATGCTGGAGCTGCTGTGTTTCTGACTGTGTTTGAAAAACTCTTCCTTGTGTTTTTTAGGTGCTAACCTGAAAGGTGTGGACATGGAAGGCAGTCAAATGACAGGAATTAACCTCAGAGTTGCAACACTGAAAAATGCAAAACTAAAAAACTGTAATCTTAGAGGAGCAACTTTGGCAGGAACTGATTTGGAAGTGAGTTATGATTTGTTCTGTACACTAACTAGTCAACTGACACCATTTTGGGGACAGTTTGGGGATTTGGCAGAGTTCTCCAGCTTCAAACTAGACAGAGCTCACTAGGCTGCTTTCAGTCCTGGGGAGACATGATCTGGGGAGTCACATTTCAGTCCAGTTTCAGTTTGGAAGCCACAGAATGGCTTGTGTCATCTCAAAGATGATGCATGGCAATTCTGGCTGAACTCAACTGGGAGATGACGCCACCACTGCAGAGCAGTGCAATTCCCTGGGCTCCTGGAGTTTTTTGATCCTGGCTCATCATTTATAGATTAAAGATGGAATCTTACCTGCCTGGGGGCACAGGGCACACTGCTGTCTCTCTTAGACACACTGGGTCATTTTGCAAGCTGTGTTCATGGTGGTTCTTCCTCAAGTACTAGAGAAGCGTTTCAGAGGAAGGTCTGGTGAGATTGCAAGAGGCAGCTTCTCCCTAGCCTACATCATTTGATATAAAGAGTGTAAGTCTAACAACTTTAAAAACAACTTTAAACATTTTAAAAATAAATCCAGTTGTTACTGTGAAAAGAAACTACTTCTTTACTAGCAGTAACTATAAAGTAGAATGACAGACTGGAAGTTTACACTGAAATTTGTGTATTCATGGACTTAAGGTGAAGTTTTGAACTAAGTTCTGGGTGTATTCAATTAACATTTATTTTCCTGTCACTCTCTAGAATTGTGATCTATCAGGCTGTGACCTCCAAGAAGCTAATTTGAGGGGATCTAATGTAAAAGGAGCTATCTTTGAAGAGATGCTGACACCTTTGCACATGTCTCAGAGCGTCAGATAGGGAAGACAACGTGCTGAAGAGGAAGGAATCAAAACGTTTATTGTGACTTTCTTCACCTCCTCCCCTTATTAAATTAGAAGTAATGGTTATTAGACAACTTACGTTTACAGTAGTGCCTAAGTAAACTCTTCTTGGATCACTTTGTGAAAGGAGTGAGGAAGCAGGCTGGTTCTAGAACCAGAATGTGTGGCCAGTTTGGGGAGGAGGGAAGAGTTAAATAGGTTCGTTGTTTAGCATTGCCTCACTTTGGAATGCATATTTTAATTTATAAAGCACAATATATGCAATTCTATTTATTAAATCTGTAGCTGCAATATGAATAGAAAATGTTATTCATGTCTAGTAGCAACAAAGTTCAGGTTTACAGTTAGAGGAGTGTATTTACAGTTATTTCTTCATTCCTGCACCGTGTGTTAAATGACAGATGTGGTTTAGACAGTGTCCACAGGATGTTTTCAGGTACTCTTGTCTTCTGGGGTGAAAAACAGTAGTTAACTGTCACTGTAGGTGATTTGTAGTGATTTGAATGCAGGTATAGAACAGCTTTATCATCTTCTAAAACATGCAGTGGAAGCTGCTTCCCCTGAAGGGATCTGCCTACACAGCAGATTTAGTTACAACTCAAACATCCCTGTTCAGAAACTGGATGTCTCATTTAATCCTTTGCAAATTAGCATGAAATTGCACTATGAATCACAGCTGGTAAGAAATATTCTCTGGCTTTCAAATGTCCTAACCACTCCAAACTGGAGTACCTGTAGTTTTTCCATTCTTTGTGGGGAATTAAATGTACAGAGGAAAAAACAATCCTGTCACCAAAGGAGAGAGAAGCACTGGGGCCACAGCACAGGCTCTGACCTCTTGTCTTTATTTCAGTAGATGAATAAATGGCACCTGTTTCCCCTCAATGTACTATGCAAATCCTCTTGTACACTGAATCCTTGAAAGCATGGGCATAATCCTTTTCCCAACCAGATCTTAATATTCCACTTTGGGCCTGCTTGAAGTGGCTGTAAAAGCATTTGCATAGGGCAGAGTGTCCTTCCCACAGCTGCTTTACCTGGGAGGAAAGAGGGAACTCTGTGACTTCTGCAGTGCAAAAAGCCTCACAGCAGCTCTGAGGGGTGGTGCACTTCATTTAATAAGCTGCTTCCACTGTAGTGTCAATGTAGTTCTCATCTAACAAAACATCTACTTTCTACACAATCAAAAAGCACATGAAGAAACTATACCAAAAAAAAAAAGGTGCATCAAGAACTCTTACCTCAGATGCTTACTTAAAATACCCCAAAGTTAAAACTAACCTTGAATCTAAGGAAATGACTGGAAGTTTAGAACCAGTGTATCCTAAAACTTGCAGAATGTGACACTGTTGGCAGAGGTCTGAGCTCCACAGCTGCTCCAGGGGGTTGCCTTTTCCTTGCAGTGCAGATTTCCTGTCCTCTGAGCAGGACTCTTCTTGTCTCAATAGTTGTTATGAAAATGCTGCTTTGCCATCAATCTAGAACAGTTAGTCCAGGACCTGTTTATTATTTGTTTGTGGGGAACTGCAGGATTCTCCCTTCTTTTTGAGTTGGGTTAACTCAGGCATATGACATGAACTTCTGGGACTCAAAATCCCACAGCCATGTGGTTCAGGATTGGGATTTTATTTCCTCCCAATTCCCAGGCCTCCTGATCTGGCTCTAGGACAGCACCAGACCTTGGTGAAAACTGTAGATTCAAGGGAACTATTTCAGTGTGATTTTGGAGTCCTTTCTCCCACCTCATTGCTGTCATTGAGAGTGATGTATATGTTGCAGTAGAAGATTCCTAGGGCTAGAGAAATAAATGAATTATTTTTCTTTATCATATTTTGTAGCTGGCAGAAGTCAAATATTGTATGGAAAAAAATATATATTTTCATAATCACTGTGTATAAAATCTATTTGAAGTTTCACTGAAGCACTATGTTTTGAATAATCACAGCATGTGGCATTGTTCATTCACAGATGAATTTAAGGTACCTCTTTTGCCATGACAAAGCTGTAGGAATAGCCCAAGGTGGCCTATTCAGAAATTGCAGGTTCCAGCCTAATTTAAATTGCATCAATAAAAGTGTGAAATATAAAAGTGTCTTGGTTGTCTTAATTAATAAGATAAATATCTCCATCTTACCTGACTTCACTGGAAGGACAGCAAATTAGAAGAGAACAAATTCTTAACTTTGAAAGCTCCTTATTTACATAGTCAATATTAAATTTAATACATTAAAAAATATTATAGCTGAAGTTGGTTTTGCCTTTCAGGAGACATGACTGTGAGACCCTGTGGGGATTGCTGCAGTGTTTCATGTTCACATTGAGAACTTCCATGGTTTGGTTTTGGGTCTTTTTGTTACTCATCTGCAACACTTCAGATTTTCTTGGTCCCCACCCTTCATATTTGCTTAATAAAATAGCTGAAATCAGAAGTCATTAACCACAAATTACAGAGGTATGTGCTCTATTTAAAACACTTGCCACAGCAGAAATCACCATCACAAAAGCACAGCTCAACTGCCTTAATAAGGAAATGCTAAAGCACAGAAAATAAACCCATCCTCGACTTTGGTCTATAAAGTGCTGATGATTTCAGTCTAATAAACTGTGGCCCAACAAAGCCAGTATAAATAGGGCACATCTGTGAAGTCACCACAGTCCAGTGGATTCTTCTGAGAGCACAAAGCTGGGACCTGCCTGACAAGCCAAGACTGGAGCTGAGGAGAAGACAGGGAGCAGCTCACCCAGCAGAGCAGTCCTGTGCCCTCCCTGAGGTGCTCTGGGAGGTCACCTGTGAGGCCAGAGCACAAACCTGTGGCAGAACACAAGTTGTTGGAAGAGGTTAAGGCTAAACTGTCATCAGACCTTGCTTGTAATGGTGGGTTAAGAGGAGGCACAATGAGCAGGCTAAGCAGGCCCCCTTGCCTCTGTAAATCTCATCCCTTAGGATGAACAAGCTTCTGTTTATCTTTAAATAACCTTAATTTTTGCTAGGCTCATCAGGAAAAGTCTCCCTTCTGAAGGGATGGGCCTGTGCTGAGGTAACATTTCTCCCACTGAAACCAACTATTTTCACAGCTTGATTAGTTTATCAGCTGAAGTTAAATGCTGGCTTCTCTTGCCATGAGTAGGAGGAGCATTAGAGCAGGAAGAATTACTCTTTGCTAGAGTCACTAAATCCTTCTTAAATTGTTTACTTATTAAGTTACTTTTAATCCATTCATCTCAAAGGGTTTATGGGAGCAGGGAGAGAGGATGTTTGAAGAATACTAAACATGATACATACTATTGCACATAAAACATTGCAGAACAAAATAGTTGCCAGGTGGATAAAAAAAACCCCTAGATTTCTGCAGTCTCAATGACTGAATTAATCTCCTGCATGTAAAGAGCCATTAGCCCCTTCAGAAAACCTCAGTGCATAAACTCTCCATACATTTACACACAAATAAATATAAACCAAAATACCATCAGTGTCTGGGAGTCCTACTCATGAAAGAGACCCTGTTGTGACAAGGAGGGACCTTCCCCAGCATATTTACCATCTAATATACTTGTCCATTTGGTCAGTTTACAGAGCAGAGAATAACAAGGCACTTGAATTTAAACATCAATGAGAAGACTTGGAAAGGAACAGGCAAACTGCTCTGTGCACCAGTGCAATCACAAGCTCTTGTTTGTGCACCAAAGGGCTGTTTCCCTCATGCCTGATCTACAGAGACAGAGGATCCCAACTCCTGCAAGCCCCTCTCAACAAATTCAAACTCACCCAAGAACTTTTACTTAAAAATTAGGAGCTACTGAAAGGAAAGATTATGAGTTTTCCACGGGGCAGCAGCAGTCAGTTGGGTTTGAATGTCAGATTTACAGCCTCTTAAAATAAAGGCTGTTACTTTTATGGCTCTTAGAGAAAACAGCTGAATTTAATAGCTACACCAAGGGTGTTCCAATTATGTGCTTTACTTCTGCTGCATTAAAGCAATTCTAAGAACAAAATTGCAGCCTGTGAGGTAGACTCAGACCAAGTTCCCTGCTGTGAAAGGTTTGCGTTGGGGTGGTTGTATATAAAAAGTGAGATGGCAAGTGTAGTCACAGGACACTTTCAAAGGGAGAAGAGTCTGGTTTCTTCTGCAACCTCTCTCAGCAAGCAGGTAATGTCCTTGAACAACAAGCCAGGTTCCCTTTGTACTTAGTTTTTGCAGATGCTTGTATGAGAAGAAACTTGCATTAGAAGACAATGCTAAGAACACTTGAACAAGCAGGGATTAACTCGAACAGAAACTGGCTAAACTGAACACATCTGTCAAGTATCAACAGGGACTTTCATGGAACCTTGGAGGTCCGGACATTCCTCAAACTCTGAGGTGTTAAAAAATCCTATTTTAGACCTTAATCTAAATTTTTGAGAAGTTAAACCTCTTTATAATGAGCTAACAAACACTTTGAGAGGCTTGAGATCCAGCTGTAGCTCACACACAAGCTCAAAGCCACTGGGGCACAGAAGATCAGAGCTGGAGATCCAGAAACATAACATTTTCCTCATTCTGTAAGATAAAAATGGAGCTGAAATGTCATCATGATCAGAAAGATATTTTTTTTTCCTCTCACAGAATGGAGAAGTCCAGAAAGATCTTTGTCAGTGTCCTCCTGGTTGTCCTGTCTGTGGAAATCTGCTTGGCTCAACACTGGTCCTATGGCCTGCAACCAGGAGGGAAGAGGAATGCTGAAAACCTGGCAGGACCATTTCAAGAGGTGGGTTCTGGGCTGTAAATCCTTTCTCTGTAAAAGATGTAAGCAAGAGGTGACACAGGCTTTGCTGTCTCTGTTTGTATCTGCATACATCTATTTATATACACATTTTTTTAAAGTAGTAATTGCAAAGTCATTGGCATCAGGGTAAGGTGACATTTGTGAGCTTGGAAGAAGAAGGTGCAGGCAGCCTGGGCAGCCTGGGCAGCCTGCCCGAGGGAGAGGGGAGTTGGAGTTGCAGGTTAAACCTGATTTCACCCTCTCCCTGAATTCCCACCAACCTCCTGCTGGGCTGATTGCTGACAACATCCAGTCACTTTGCTGAGAACGTGGCAAGGGGCAGCTCCTGTGGCAGCCAAGGGGTGGTGAGCAATTAAATGACAAAGCAGATGTGGAAGGTTCTGCCCACCAGACCTTTTCCCATCCTTCCTAACACTTCCCAGGTTGTCCCCCATCACAGCAATCCCAGCATCCTGATGTTAAGTTTGCTGTAGCACAGGCACAGCACCTGGGAAAGGGGGGAATTTAAATAATGCAGTGGAACAGTTTCACCTTCATCTGTAACCAGGGCAGAGTTGCTTGAGCAGAAAAACCTCCTGTCCTGAAAGCTGTGTCACTTCCCAACTCAGATTGCAAATGAAATGGAAAAACCAGGGGAAGTGCAGCAGAGTGAATGTCCAGGCTTGTCCCAGCACCCCAGGGCCACTGATCTGAGGGAAGCTGTGGTAAGTAACATGGTTTTTCCTTTGTCCACTATCAGAAGATTAAGGGACTGGGCCAGGCTGGGAAAGTAAGATGGAAGGAAGAGAAAAAAGGTGGTGGAGGAGGAGGAAGGGGCACACAAGTTTAGTTCACACATGGTAATACTGGCTCTTCCCTAATTATCATTGGTAGATATGGTTTAGGGGGGAACTTTATAGAGTGGGGATGATGGTTAGACTCTGTGATCCCAAAAGTCTTTCCCAACCTGAATTCTACCTGCATTTTTCTCCAGTACCTCCCAGTTCCAGTCCTAGGACAGGACAACATTATTCCTGATGCTCCCATTGTAGCAATGTCATTACTCACTACATTAAAAACAACATAAAGTCAAACACATTCTGCCTTAGTACAAATCTCTGCAGCATTCACAGATGCTTAACTTCAAAGGCCCACTTTACCAGCTGAAGGATCAAGCCATATGGAAGCTGCTGCTCCCCAGGTCCCTAGACTGGGAAATGTATTTTCCATTAGATGCTCTAATGCAATGACAGCAGAGACTTCACATACCAACTAACTGCCACAGAAAGAATATTCCCAAGCAAAAATGTGCTCTTTAATTAATACAGCAACACCTTGAACAGGCCAGATGGTCACCACTTTCTGGGAAGTGTCTCTGAGCTGTCCTAGAGGCTGGAACACTCAATCTCTACCCCATTTTTAAAGCCAAGACCAAAAGTTTCAAATGTGCTCTAGCCTTTCACTGAGGAACTCAGGCCAGCAATACAGACAGGTCAGCCTGATTTCCATTTTATTTTCATGCAGAAATTACCTAAAATTCCAATTTTATATTATCTTTAATCATATTTGCACTGAACATGAAGTGAAGACTTTGTCCCTGACTCTGCCTCCCAGTGACACCACTTGCAGCATGAAGAGCCAGCAACAGTAATTTAAGATGTTTAGACTTTTTTTTTTTTACTGCAATAGACTGTCTTAGACAGGAAAAGATACCAGAATAATTACCATGCTATTTGAAATGAGTCCCTGATACTTCTTGCTCACTGAGGGAAATCTGGCCCTTCTTTGCAGAGCTGAAACCATCCCCTGCCTCCCCAGTTCAGGAACTGCTGATAAGTTGCACAGAAGTGTAAAAACTTCTCAGCATCTGCATGAAACACTGAGTTTGCACATCTTATTCCTCTACCACAGTCTGAACTATGTGGCTTTTTTAATTTCTAGCTGCTTAGTGACATTGAAAACAAATTAATAACTTTGCTGGATGCAGCTTTTCCAATGTAGCACATCCTTGGAGTTGCTCCAGGAATCTAATTCAGTGACAGGGCAGGTGCCTGGAAATGGTCCATCCCATGGAAAAACCCTGCAAATGATCTTCATCATTTCCTGGAGAAGCTGGTAGTGAGCACAAACAAAAACACACCTAGCTAAGATACCAAGGGGAAAAAAAACCAACCTATTCAGACAGCACATCTATCCAAAACACCTCAGGCTTTCAACTCAGAGGTAACAACATCAATAGATATTCAAGTGGGTGAGGAGAGCAAGCAGGACGTGGCCCAGGAACAGGGTTTCCATTCAAGCAGTACTAAGGCACACAGAATGGTAACAGGGCAACTGTGCCCCTCCACAATGAGCCTGTTAACACTTCAGCAAGCAGAGGTTTCTTGCTTCTGGTATCTTGGCCAACTGCTTAAGCTCCCAGAGACATTTTGCAAACTGACACTTCGTGCAAGTTCCTGCTTCTTGCCCTAAACTGCTGTCAGAGGGTCGTGTCCAACAGCTGTTGGGTTGCACACCAAGAACTGCTGTAGTGCTGGACCCAGTAACAGATGTAAAGTTGGTCATGCACTTTGGGATGAAGAGGGCCATTATAAGTGTCAGTTACATTATACTGTATGATCAGATCCATGAGCAGGTGGCAGGGAGATCATGTCAGGTCAGATTTATGTCATTTTAATCCTCCTTCCAATGGAGACCACAATAGGAATATTTTAGCATCTGACCAGGCTTTAAAATTCCATCAAAGTTATTTCTTCTCTTTAAAAAAAAAGTTCTGATGTTTATTTGCAGGAAAGGCTGATGGAAGAAGCCAGAGCAAAGAAGATTTAAACCAAAAGCCAAACAGAACAGACCCAGAATGAAATGTCAAAGCTTGTTTAAATCAACTGCTCCTCAAATGGCCTCTGCTTAGATTGTATCCTGTGAATAAAGACTGAGCTGCATTTCAACTGAAAATTGTTTTGTAGATTGTTTGTATGTAAAAGAACTTTCCAGTCCAGTGGTGGGGACTGCCAGGAGGGGGGGGGTCTGCTCTGTGCCCTGCAATGAAAAATGTGACAACTTCTATTCACACTACAGACCATGCCTGGACAGAGGCTCTGCCTCATCTCACTGCAACACTGATGCAACTTGCTTAAAAATCAAGAATCAAGTTACTGTTGGGATGGGATTCCACTCACACTCCACTAGTCCACGAATGAAAGACTGTTATATGATTATTTTTTTTTACCGGTTCAGTCATAAAAACTACTTTTATTTTAAAAAGTTATTTACAAACTTTACAATAGTTAATACATCTGTAAAAACATGAAAATTTATACACCTTGCTTTACAGACTTAGTGGATTATGTGACATTTACCCAGAGAGATGCAGGCTTTGGATGTAAAAGAACTTTCCAGGCCAGTGGTGGGGACTGCCAGGAGGGGGGGGGGTCTGCTCTGTGCCCTGCAATGAAAAATGTGACAACTTCTATTCACACTACAGACCATGCCTGGACAGAGGCTCTGCCTCATCTCACTGCAACACTGATGCAACTTGCTTAAAAATCAAGAATCAAGTTACTGTTGGGATGGGATTCCACTCACACTCCACTAGTCCACGAATGAAAGACTGTTATATGATTATTTTTTTTTACCGGTTCAGTCATAAAAACTACTTTTATTTTAAAAAGTTATTTACAAACTTTACAATAGTTAATACATCTGTAAAAACATGAAAATTTATACACCTTGCTTTACAGACTTAGTGGATTATGTGACATTTACCCAGAGAGATGCAGGCTTCCTTTTCTAAGCTTCCTACTCTTCCTTCAAAACCAGTTGAAAAGCTGTATTTTTGGCTGATTCAATTGCAAAGGACTAAAAGAGAGAGAGAAAAAAAATAGCAGGTATTTTCAGTCCACAGAGGTGGGTTTTATAATGAAACCACCACATCCAGGATCTCAAAACACTTACAAAAACACTTTATACAACATCCATATTCTCCTGAATTCAAGACAAACATGTCCCAAGGTTTATCATGTCAATAAACCTTTATAATACCAACAATTAAAAGCTACATCAATTTATACCACACATACTGAAGCTGCTGAGAACTTACACCCCTGTTTAAAAAATAGCAATAAATCTAAGACCTGCAGACCACGTATGTGAGAAAACAGGTTCAAAATATGCAGCCATGCAGCTCCAGGGAGTTCAGTGACAGTTTTAAATCAGAACAGTCAGATCAACGCAGCATGAACAGGCTTTTCTTCACCTTTTGTGAAGCTGCTCATACTCCTTTGTGTTCTCTCTGCAGTGCTCAGTTACTGGCCTAGAGGTGCTTTCATGAGCAGAATCAGGTGAACCTCCTGTACTTCTGAAAAGCCCCTTTCCTGCCAGGCAAGCAGTGAAATCTCATTACTTGTTGTCTTTTTTTATTTCTGATGCTGTCCTAGGAAAAACTCCACTAGATAATTTGGCCAGAGATAGTAAATATAGAGACATTTCTAATGAAAAGAATAATGGAAAGAAGCAGTAACAGGTCAGGGATGTTTTCATGGTATAAAACAAGATTACAGTTAAATTACAGACATCTTAAACTTCTTAATTCCATTTACAATTATAAAAATAAATAAGGAGAGGGGAAAATCTGAGACTCTGAGCCATTATCCCTCCAAGTCTAACTTACTGTTCATCTCTGGAACATGCACTGGGCTGCACAGTGTGGGGGCTACAAACTGGAGCCTCTCAACACCCACTGCATCTACATTCTGGTGTTTTCTGCCACTGCAGATCACAGAGCTGTTCTCACTGGAGTTGGTGTCCTTTCCTAATCCAATAATCCACTCAAATGGAAAGCTGTCTGTTCCTCTCTTCCCCTGTTGTGGATTAGAGCCTGTAACATTTTTTTTAAAGGAATTTCTCACAGCATGACACATTTTAATTAAAAGCTTCAGCAAACAAGCATTGAGCATATTTCTCAGAAAAAACCATAAAATTCCTCCAAGACTTGAAATTTAACACTAGCTTTGAACAACAAGGCTATGAAATGGGATTAGGTTTTGTCTTCTCTGCAGACTGGACATTTAACTTGGAGATTTGTTTTACTCAAAACTCTGATTTGGGCAGAAACTCTGCAGGCTGCTTTCATTTCTGGCATGCAGAGATGACATCACTCTGGACTATTCTTTTCCCAAGATCAGCTCTCCAATTTAAAAAGACTTTAGATGACATTTCCAAAAGCATCTAATCAACGTGGAAAGATGAGTCTCACTTTCAAAACTATGTAGTGAGCCCTTAAATTGTCTGAAAATTACATCTCAGACCTTAAGCCAGGCAGGTACCACAGGAAAGAGGAGAACACCTTAAAAAAACCATGAAGTGTCTGGTGGGATTTCTCCTAAGAGTGTGGGCTCTTAATTCCACTTAATTAAAATCAGTCAGGCCCCATGCATATTCACACACTTAAATGCCCAATTGCCTTTAAAAATGTGACACTCTTAATACTTTTTTCTAAAACTGGCACAAAACCCTACACCATTCAGGCACAGCACAGACATCCCACCTTGTACCTCTAAGCAAACTCTTCTGACTTGCATCAGCTGAGAGCAGCACTTCACATTCCAGTGTCAGCAACACAGGGAAGAAAACTGAGCTCCTATTTGTGAGTTAGTCCAAGGGGAGAGGATAATCAACCACTTAGATGGGCTCTTTTATACACTAGGCTTGTGTAAACTGAAAAATAAAGCAGTCAGAACCAAGTCTCCTCAAGTTAAAAAGCATCATGTACAGGGTGATGAAAGGTCAGCTGAAAACTTCTTCCCAAGGTCAAACTTCCTCCAGTGAGGTTTTTTGCATGGACTAGTCCCCCCTTTCCAGCAAGAAAACCCTGCTGAATGCACAGGGTTATTCTACAAATTAAAGTTACTAAAGCAGATGAAAAAGGCAGGGAAATAAGAGTCAAAAGTGGCTTGGAAGCAAAGCCCCTAAACCTGACAGCTTGTTTTTTATCCACAACAGAGAAATTATCAGCTGGGATCCCTCCAGTCTCCCTGGTTTCTGCTGACTTAGCAAAGGGGTTGAAAGGCAACCTGCTCTGAAAAGGAAACACACCCACAAATGAAGTAAGAGGCAGATGCAGGATGGGGAAAGGCACTGAATCAACTATAGGTGGTGTAAATACAGACTGTTCTGCAATTCAGAGCACATCCTGCTGTTCTGCCTAGAGAAAAGTTCTCACTGAAGACAGAAAGTGAAGTTTCAGAGGATCCTTTAGCTGATGTGTGCAGCAGAAAGAAGACAGTGATTACAAGAGGAAGAAGTGGACTAAAAATGAAAGACAAGAACACCCTGTGGCTTTCAAGTCAAGCAGTGTCTGTGTCCAAGAACATCATATGGAGCTGACAAGTCCTCTAATGCACCAGAGAGGGGGTGAACCATGGTCATGTTGTCCAGAAAGGTTTCAAAGATTTCCCCTGAGGAGGCAACAACCCAGAAGGCAGCTGTGCCAGAGCAGCAGCAAACATGACTGTGGATGGATGTGATGTGAGTGCAGTGCAGCTTCCAAGATGCCTCCAACCTGGTTTGTGATGTGAATCCACTCTGACCTTTTGATGGAAGCAGCTGTTTTCCAGAGCCATGCAGACAGCACAGCAAATGCAGCTTCTTAACTGGAATCCCACTGAAGCCAAAGGGATGTGCAGAAACAAAAGAAAGGGCTACACCTCAGTCCCTTCAGCCTGAACAAATAAAAATTAAACCCTAGGGTTTCACTGGGCTTGTTTTTCTCTTGGCTGAGAAAATCTTTCAATAGGTTTAATGAAACCCATCTAAGTCATGTCAGCATAAAATTGTGTGCAGTTGCCTTCTAAAAAACCCACCCCAACAGTATTTACTACTGTGAGCAACACCCTCAGCAGGGTGTTCAGGGTGTCTCCCCATCTTCTGCCACAATCAGAAGCTAAATGAGAGTTACAGTTAACAAGCAAAATCATTTCCTTGGAGAGAGCCCATAACAGATCTCTATCAGTACCAATGGCACATGAACAGGCCACAAGCTCTAACCAAAGCTCTCTACAGGCTCAGAAATAAATTCGGACCAAAACTCCTCAGCTGGTCCCTCTCTGTGATGAGTTTTAAGAAACCCTGAAGCTAAACTTGGCAGGCAAATTTCCATGTTTCCTCAGTTCCATAGTGATAAGGAACAAGTGATTTCTTTTTTTTTCCCCTTCCCTGAATAACATCAGAGAAATATCACAGCAGTGACAGAAGCTGTTTATAAACAGGCCAGTCACACAGGCAAAATATTCTGCCTGAATGTGACAAGAGAATAATTCTTGCTTATCAAGAGAACCCCAAACCTCAGTGGCTTTTCAGCTGCTGGGAGTGTGACACAGGCAGCTGCAACATTTTGGGGATCTGTGGAGATAAGTTTCAGTTGTGCAGCTTGAAAAGGAAACAGTGAAGTTCCTCACAATGCATTAGTGCTGGAAAAAAATCAGTCAAAAGAAAAATTGGCTTCATCCTGGCTCAAACCAGGACACAAGGCATTTAGGAAAGTCTTACTCCACAGAGCAAAAAAAAGAGCTGCTGGAACTATCTTTGGAGTCACTCAAGTGCAGAACAGAGTAGAAATGTGAGCCTGCTGCAGAGGAGCAAGTCCCCAGCCCAGGGGTGCAGCAAACAGAGCTCAGGGGCAAGTACAAAGGTACAAAATGGATCTACTAGTATTAAAGCACTAATCCCAAATGGTGACATCCTGTTTTTTACCAGCAAGCTTCCCGTGGCAGCTCAGGCACTTAGAATGCTGCTTCTAAGGCCCATCTGGTCCATAAATAACAATATTTGTGTTGAACTTCTGGTCCCTGTGCAGCTGTGAGGACAGGCTATTCTAACTGCAACACTTTCTGCATGGATCATGTGTGTTTAAAAGCATGGAAAATCTAGGAACACTATTTTTTTTTCCTCTATACAAACAGAAAGACTGATGCTGACACCCAGAGAAAGGAGTAACTAAAAGAAAAATTAAACAGATTATCCCACCTTCCAAGGAAAGAAAAACTGAGAAAGCTGGAGTAATCCAAGCAGTAGGAAAGTAGGTGGTTAATTGTCAAGTCTTTCACAGGCATCCCAGATCCAAATGGCTCCTGAAAGTCTAGTGGCTATTAAAAACCTAGATCCAGGGAGGCTATAAAACAAAGTGCAAGTACTGCCAAAAATGGGTGCAGGAAAAAAACAAGAGAATTAGATCTTCTCCTGTACTCACAGGAGAGAAGTAATTTTTTACACCCTATTTAAAGCCACAAAGATGAAGTATTATACTGAGTCCCAGCCACAAGAACAGACCAAGCAGGTAACATGATCCAGGGAGGAATATCAACAGCTCTCTAGTGTTAAAATCAGAATCAGCAGTGAAATTATATCAAAGCACTGATGAACCTAAACTCTCCATTGGGAGAGAAGCAACTGCCACCAGTGGAGCAGAGATGGTGCAAGGCAGAACCTCTGCACTTCATCTCACATACACATGATGACTAGCAGAAAAAATGACTTCTGCTAAATGCTCCAGTCTCTGCTTGCAGTCAACAATCTTAGGAGACTGCACATCATACCCCAGCACCTGACATCTCAGGAGCTGGCATTTCACACCTTGGGAATGCTGTGAGCTGTTTCCCTTCCTGCAGATCAGGGCTTGGCTGCAGGAGGGATGGAGGCAGGAGGGCAGCTGGAAACCTGTGATGTGCTGTGGAAATACTGCAGGACACATCTCCTCCTGGTGTGGCTTCCCTTGTTCCAAACAGTGGTGCAAATTACTACCTTGTCAGATCTGCACCAGGAATGAGCTGCATCAGTAAAATAAACCTGGGACAGACAAGACTGGGACAAGAATTCCAGTAGGGTCATTTTCCTGGTGTGTGATTAGTGTCTCAGTACTGGAAAGGTAAACCAGGGGTTGGGAATACAGTCACAAGAACAGGTCCTTTTGGTACTTCCCAAAGGAAACTCCATGGGGAGTGAATGGAATGGCAGGTGAGATCACCAGTCTTTAGGGGCAGAAAGGCCCAGGGTGTCAGTGAAGGGAAGCAGCCATCCCAGCCCAGGCTGTGACACCAGCAGGTGAGGATCCTCACTGCAGTCCTGGCTCTGCAGACACCACACTGGATTTTCTGGTTTTGGGGGGTGGGGGGGGAGGTTTGGCTTCACGTCTGCTGGGTAGTGGTGGAGCAACCTGAAGATAAACAAAAACACACAGAAAGAGAAGCCATTACTGACAAGTTGAAATATTTTGCTGACCAAACAAGAAATCCCAAAGGTCCTGTGCTACTTGATGTTTCTTTCAGGACCAAATCATTGCATTCAGCCTCTCAGTACTACACACAATTGATGACAGGGGCAAACAAGGACAGAACCTCAACAGATAACAGAAGCAGGCAAGTTTTTATTGCTGGGATGTGCTTTAGTTGCAGATACACTTTAGTTGCTTCTGACCTGCAGCCTGACATTGAGCCAGAGCCATCTGTCCCTCTGTCCCACCTTTTGTTTATCAGTAAGATAATAAACCCATTTCCCCCCAAGGTTCCAAAACTCAACTATTTTTATCTTGCTGGCTTGATGAGTTGCCCCAAGAAGGGGCCAAAAGGATGTGAAATGCTTCCAGATCAGACTGGAACAACCAACTCCATAAAATGGCAGCAAGTGAAACTCTCCTGGAGCAAGGCACAGCCTTCCTGCCCAGCACAGAGCCTTGTAGGACATTGCCTGTTCTTGCACTAGTGGGTTCTTTCCAGTTGGCTCCCTACCTGCTTGAAGGGACATCCTGCAACCAAATGAGATGTGAAAGGCTGGTGTGGCTCCCCACTGGCTTACTCAAAACTGGCAAGATTTCAGGACTATGTTGACTGAAGGAGGACAGAGTCAACTTTACAACAACACAGGCACAAAACCCTTCAGAAAATACTTTTACAATCTCTCTTTACAACCCTTCAAATCCCTTTTCATTTGGCTGCAAGCCAAGGTCAATGTTGCAAGCCAGAACATGTTAGTAATTAGTTTTCTTACAAGACTGAAGGGAAGGAGGCTTTTTTATTAATCCTCTTGAACCAGGGACTCCCAGAGCATCCCTAGAGCTGCCTTATTTCCACCAGGCACAGCACCTCCAGCAGCTATGCTGCCCCTTTGCAGAAAAAGTCAGCTCTGATCAAATGAAGGACAAAGCAGAAAAACTCTTATTCATCCCATGGTTCAAGGCTTTATGCCAGTGCCACCTCTCTCTAGCAGAATTAAGTGATCAGAAGGTCTGTTGTCTTCCTGTGCTGTCAGAGGTAACATTGTAAGCCTGATCATTCTTTACATTCTTTTTGGTCAAACTCCACTTCATCTCACTAAGGTACTTGGTAAATCCTCTTTGCAAATTGGACTGGGGAAGTCATCCATCCCTTTCCCAGTTACAGAAGGATGCTTTGTGTTGCTGGGCACTGGTAAGTAAATACAGTCTCGTATCAGAAGCACCTACATTTCATGGAATGGTTTGGGTGGGAAGGGACCTGAAAGCTCATCCAGATCCCACCCCTGCATGGGCAGGGACACCTCCCACCAGCCCAGGCTGCTCCAAGCCCCATCCAACCTGCCCTTCAACACCCCCAGGGATGGGGCAGCCACAGCTTCCCTGGGCAACCTGGGCCAGGCTCTCACCACCCTCACACCAAAGAATTCCCTCCTCATCTCCAACCTCCAGCTCCCTCTCCCAGGTTTCATCCATCCCCCTCATCCCATCCCTCCCTGCCCTTGTCCCAAGCCCCTCCCCAGCTTTCCTGGAGCCCCTTCAGGCACTGGATTCAGGGGCAAATTAAATGATTCTGACACACTGAGCAGTGCAGTGGCACATTAAGTACTTGCAAGCTGTTTGGAATCCCCTAATGTAAGAGGACATTAGAGATACAGCATTAAACAAAAACAAAAAAAAAAGGGCAATGTGATGTTCCTAGAAGGAAACCATGAAATTGAGAAGAAGCTTCTGGCTAACAGAAGGATATTAACAGAAGTTGTTTTAACTGACTGATGATGCAAACCTGGAAAAACAAGATGCATGATTTTCTTCCCCTCCTTTCTCAGGCCCAGAGTACTGGGCTATTTTATGTTGATCATGTTTTTGAAACTTTTCAATCCCTGGTGTTTGTTTTCAGTATAACTTCCCACTCCTACACACGGTTGTACCAAGGACAACAACTCCCACGTGATAAAAAGGAAATACACTGGATAGCCTTAAAGAAGCAAAAAAAACCCCTTCTTATTCTTCCACTGTTTCAGGGAGTGAATTAGTAGAACGATTAGCAGAGTTTCAAGCAGCACCACCCTGGTAGCAGCCTGGAAAATTCCACTGGTGTCTCTTTCTCAAAAGCTGTTCTCCCAACAAGTGCCAGCTCTCATTTCCTTACCTCCACAGAATTCCTGGGGTTGCTGTTCTCATAGGGTTTGCTTTTGGGTGGAGGAGGGGGTGGGGTGCTCTGTAAACTACCAGTTGCCAATCCATCAGCTTGCAAGGATGGAAAACCTAGAAGCAGCAACAAGAAGAACAGACATTAAAGTGGGCAGAAAAGGAAATGGGATTGACCATCTAGAATTTTAAGTGAGATTCATCTTGTGCTTTCCAGCTGCTCAAGCAGCTAAGCCTGAGTGGATATGTCAAAGCAGAGTCACAGTTGTACCTCCCTCAAGTTCCAAATGCCCAGAAGATTTCTGTCTTCATCAAATGGATCTAAGCTCATGTGAAAAGTGCATGCCTGAGAGAATGGAAAATTGAATCCATTCTCACATCTGCAGTGTTCAGTGAAGTTTCCTTTCAGCCTGGGCCTCAACCTGAGAATTCCCTTTGATTTTAACTCCAGTTGATGGAGTAGATAAGTACCCAAACTTCAGAAGAATTCCTGGGAAGCTCTCCTACTCCTAATGGCAATTAAAACTGCTTGCTAGAAGACTGAGGTTTCACATTCCTTTCACAGATCTTTCTTCATCTCATATTCCTGCACTGTTTTGTACTCCTGGTTGTCTCCCCACCCTAATATCTATTTTTTTCATTTTAATCCTCTTACAACAGTTTTATGCTGGTTTTGTTCATTCTGAATGTAGATCCACAGAAGAGAAAGGACAGTCAGGCCCTATTTATGAACTTCTGCTTCTTTAAACAAGGAGCAGCTGAGTCAGAATCCTAATGGCAAGCAAGGAAGTTGTCAGTGGTGACACTACAGCTGTATTTTTACCTTAGCCATATTTGTGTGTTGCTTCAGAATTGACTGCAGAACTTACTCAATATGCAAAGAAGGCAACTGTGCCAATCATTCATTTTGCTAATTCTTCAAGATAAATTTCATCTCTTTCAGGTATAATAAGTTTCCAAGCTGCAGCAACTTCTAAAACTTTCTGCTGTGTGATTGGAATTATTGTTCATTAATCAACAAAGCCTTTTGGGGCTTGCCCGGAAAATTTATCCATAGAGGTGATCAGAAACACCAGACTGGATTGATCCAGTTCCAAGCAGTGAATTCCCAGGAAAGATGCCCCTAGGATGGGGAATCTGACTTGATGCATTTACAGGCACCTCCACTGACACGTAGCATATGATGTTCACCTTGAGGTTTAACACACCTTCCCACAGGGCAATACAGGAGAAAACAAGACAGAAAATGAAAACTTCTCTGGAATTCATCTGATATGCTAATTTTAACAAGTGATAAGTCACAAATATGATTGTGGTGCCTTTGATAACACTGCCAAGTTCTGGTATCTGACAAAAATGTCTACAAACATCACCAGCCCAGCTACTTTCTGTGAACTCCCTCCCCTTCTCCTCCCCTCAGCAAATAAGTAGTGAACTCCTGCTACTGCAGATACTGCTCTGAAGGATGCAGCAATTGCTCTGGAACAGAACTTACTCTGGGTTCTTGGGGTTTTGGGAGTGATGGGTGGTGGGCTGCAAGGTGATGACTGCTGGAGTGAGGAGCCCTGCAGCAAGGTCAGTCTGTTGTCTCCCAGTTGAAGGCTCTTTGGCCTTGGTGCTTTTCCTGACATGCCCTGCTTGAAACAAAGAGCAAACAAACCCTTGAGAAGCCAGCAAGGTTGCTGCACACATACCAGATAACCAGAGCTGTCACAAGGGCACCAGCATGCTCCAGAAAAGCCATGGCTAAGAGAGAAAGGGGCATCCAGGTGGAAGAGCAGAGTGAAACCCCTGCACTGGCTAAGCCATGTCCAAAGGCACACACTGTGCTCCTGTGACACCTCCAGTTTCTTGGGGCACCTTTCTAACTGGGTAGCACTGGTAAACTTGTTTTAACAACCTTGGTGTGGTAAATCAAAAGTGAAGATGTCAGGCTGGAAAACTGGGGCACTTGACTTGCAGTCGAGTGAACACATTTTTTGGGGAAAAAAAAGTCTTTCCAAAAAGAAAAAAAGATGAAATTCTGGGTGCAAGTCAGGATTGCTGTTATTACCCAACTGGGAAGCAACTCTGTTCCAGGCTTCACAGAGCCTGGGACTCAGATGTTGTTCCAGTTCCTTCCAGTGTCACATGTGTCCCTCCATGTGCTTCACACAGATCAGGAGGCCCCCTGAACATCCCAAGAGTCCAGCACATCAAGATTCTGGTCCCTTTAAATATTAGTTTGTTGCTTTGCAGAGAAGGCTGCCACTTACACATGTAATAAACTCACTGGGCTCTATGGAGATCAATCCTCCATCATTAAGTAGTTCAGTGTTTCCTACAGTGCAGGAGGGACCACATGTTGGTGTCAGGTGAAGAGAGACCTCCTGAAATCCAAAGCTGCTGGACACTCAGCAAGTCTGTTGTTCCCTCTGAAGCAGCTTAGTCAAGAGCTGCATAAAATCAGTCTGTCCAACTCCTGTGCTGCACTATGCAGCTTTGGAACAGACCAGCTATAAACCCAGCTTTTCCTGTACTTTGCAGCATTCTTAAGCATGACTATAACCCTGAACTGCTCATTCCCTTCAGGAAGCTGAGAACACACACGTGTAATTTGTCCTCAGAGATATGGGGGGAGAGGGGAGGGAGGGGCTCTGGTTTGCAGCTCTGCACTGCAAAGCCTTGGACAGTCCTGCCCCACTGTCCTAGTGAAGGGGTTGCTACAAATGGGCCTTTCCCTCTAGTTTTACTTCATGTAAGTGATCAGCAGCTGACATCCCAGTCTGTGAGTTAATCCCAGTTAATTCAACAGCAACTCTTCTAGGCCAGGCCTCCTGAACCACTATTTACAACTCCAGATCTTCCTCCTGAGTGGAAAGCCTGTCAATACCAAATGACATGATTCTACAGCCACAGTTCCCCTTTCTCATAAACATTCTGCAGATTCCAAGTGCTGGCAGCTTCACTCAGATTTGATGAGAATTCCTGGATATGCAACAGCATAAGCTGTTCCTGCCAGATTCAGCTGAGACCTCGGGAGGGAAAGGGAAATAAAAGAACTCATGTTTTCTCATTATTTACACAGTCTGTGTTAAGTCAAATTAGTATCACTGAGACACCAGCTTAAGTAATTAGATGTCTATTTCTCACATACTCTGACAGAGTAAGACAGTTTAGCATAAGTCAAGATAATACTCCAAGGTTATCCAACTCTTACTTTTGGGCTGAAACTTCTCCATTTATATTATGTGATCATTCCAAATCCCACTGAATGCTTAACAGTCTCCAACAGAGTCCTTGTTATAACACCCATGTGAAGGCAGAGATTGTCTTTTATTCCTTTTTTTGCAAATAATCTGCTCAAGGAGTTAACACTCCAGGCAGGACTGGAGCAGAGCACAGGCTGGAAGGAACAGCTTTTGAAAGTTTCAGGCTGGTGACTTAACTACCAGATCATCTTTTGCAACTCCCTGATCCATCAAAGTGATCTTCACCTTGCAGTACATTTGGTTGGCGCAGTGATGCTGACAGACAGCAGCTGAACATCTGGCTTGACAGCTGGATTTGTAAGTGGGCTGGCAGCATCTGTCTGCTCCAACAAATACAGAGCAACTGGACATGATGCCTTGTGCTCCCAGTTTGTACCTGAAGTAAAGCTGCACTTGGGTCTGTGACACAAGTTTTCCAAATAAAAAGTCAAGAATTACTCAGATGACCAAGACTTTTGGTATTTGAACCTCTCCCACTATTTAACGACGTTCCCAAAGACAAGCAGAGCTGAAAGCAACAGAACCACTAAAATCTCCTGCTGTGGATTTTTTCTCTTTACCATTTTGGCAGTCAGTTCTGCTTCTGGCTCCTTCTCCACAATAACCTGGGACTTGCTAACACTCCAATCCTTCCGCTTCAGTTTGCTGATCCTGTTATCACCATCATCTTTCGTGGGCAGCTCCTCAGCTCTGGAAGCTGTTGAGATTCTTCTCTCCAAGAGAGGCTCCAGAATAGATCTGTGGCCCACCCCAACAGAGTGAAAAACATGAAGCATTAGTCAATCAGATGTTTAAAGCACTGTCTTGTTAAGAATCATAGAATCCTAGGGGTTGGAAGGGACCTCAAAAGATCATCTAGTCCAACCGCCCTGCCAGAGCAGGGTCAGAAGAAGCTGTGGCTTCTTTGTTTGCATTGAGAAATTACTGTGAAAAACTACAGTTATAACCAGGGAATTCTCAGTGAGATTTGTGCTCCTAAGGTGCCCAAGCAATTTTTAGTTGGATGGGGCTTGGAGCAACCTGGGCTGGTGGGAGGTGTCCCTGCCCATGCAGGGGGTTGGAACTAAATCTTTAAGGTCCCTTCCCACCCAAACCATCTTAAGATTCTATGACTCTATGGCTCATTTTAAGAGTAACTAAATCCTCCAAAGGAGGAACTCACTCTTGTAAATCCCATGGAAAGGCTGATTACTCACCCATCTGAACCTGGTCTGGAGGAAGTGCTGTCAGATGAGGTGGAAGATGTGGAGACCACAGAAGATGCCACAGAGGTGACCGAGAGCCGCCGCAGCGTGGACGACATGATGTAGGGCAGCACAACAGAGCCAGACCTGCTGGGTTTCCTCTCAGTGAGGGAGGGAGGCTGCAACAAACACCCTTCTGATAAATCCTGGAGCACTGGCTCCCAAGTGGGAAAGGGGGGAGCTGTGTTTCTTCAGGGCAAAACGCTGCACAACCAGGTACACTCACCAAGGTGATCACACCGTACTGCTTCTCCACCTTCTTCTTCAGCTCCTTGAAGCAGGAGGTCAGTCTGTCATGGAGGGGCTTCAGCTGCTCTGTCAGCTTCTCACCATGGATCCTAATCCCTTCTGCCAACAGTGGCATCTGAAAGGAGGAGCAACATTCAGCCACATAAGGACCAATAAGATCTCACCTTCCAGGAAGAAATTTTCTATGCATGTTAAACATCTGAGATACAATCAAAGGACTCAAATGAACATGTCCTGAGGTTGAAGAGGCAAAAGAAAAAAAGTAATCATACAATAAGGAAGCTCAGCTACTGCCTCAGAAGTTGCAACACTGTAGGAACTTGTTTAAGCTCCACGTGTTCCAAGACACAGGAACACTTGTCCCTTCTGTGGTTCCCTCTTCCCTGCTCAGCCCCCACATTCTGCCTCACAGAACAGAGCACATGAGGTGCTGGAGGATCACTCCCAACCCCCAGAGCTGTAGGGTTGTGAGGCAGCTTCAACTGCTGTGTGGAAATACTTCCAAACTGGTCTGCAGGGATGCAATCTGCATTGCAAAGAACCCAGGGCAATTTTTCATTGCTCTGCAGGTCAACACAGACAATTTCCAGTGTTCAGACTGACAAAACATCAGGCCTGGTGACTTCATGCAAAAGGAACAGAAGTTTTGTTACACTTAGAAGGGAAAGAAAATAAAAACCTATGCCAAGATAGCAAATGTTCCAGAACAACACAAGGTACATGGAACAGCCTAGGCCACAATTTTCAAAACTGACAGTTACTACAAAATCAAAACACACCCCCAGATTGTTCTTAGAGCATTTGTCTGCATTCTCTCTCCAGAACAATGATGCTGGAAAAACATCTGCACTCACACATAGTGTTTCCACTTCTTTCTGAATACAGTACCTGCAGAGCAATCAGTTGCTTCAGCAGCTCAATTTTATCTTGATCTTCAGGATGTTCTTGAAGATACTTCTCTGTGAAAAAGGCCTGAAAGCAAAGAGAGAAGCTGACACAGACCCTGTGTTGCTTTCACTGCTAACTCAAAGATCCCTGTACTTTAAAAGCAATTAATTGCCATTATTCCTCACATTAAAAACTAGTTTTGCTATCTCCCTACACAAAGCTGAGGAAGAAAGAACCATGGTGATTTGTGGAGAATTAGCTACAAGATATTTCAAAAAAAAACCCAAAAAACAAAAAGCTACTTTTTCAGTAAAACATCATTATATATTAAAGTAACTTCCTTGGAAGGGTTTTCTTCAGTTCCAACTCCCCTCTCATTAAACTATTGATTTGAATAACTCAAGTTCCATTAGTTGTCACTCAAAATCAAGAAGCAGATCCAGGCTTTTGAGTTCTCACCTCAGAAAGTCTCTCTGGTTCTTAGCACCCAGTGACCTGCAGGACACAATGCCAAGCAAACCACCTCAGCTGCAGGGAGGTGAGCAAGGCATCTCCTGCCTGCAATTTCCTTAAGCTCTATGATTTAAGCCCTTAAGTACAACATTTTCACATGGGGCTTGTTACAAAATTCAGTAGAAATAAAGTCTGTGTTCAGAGCTTGACTCACACTTTGCTCCAACAAAGCACCTTTAGTCCACACTTCTTATGTGTTTACCTTTAATCAACAGAACCTGGTGTTGGTTTCAAGTTGAACAAACACCTTCCTGGACTGAAGCCTTAAAATGGTGCCAACCCACATGATGTGCTCCAGTGTATTGCACTGAAATGTAGCACAGCTCCTGGTCAGGAGAACTTAATTTTTCTTTTTCCTAGATAAAATCCCTAATAATTTTTCATTTGGTTTTAAAACCAGTCTCTGATCTGCCTCAGTCTCTGCCTATATTTTTTAGTTCTGCATTCCATTAACTGGACTGTGTGCACAAGTGTTTATAGGCCTGGTGGTATGACTCTGAGAAGGGCTGATGTCAAGAGAAGGTTAGCCTGGGTAGGTCCCAGCAGATTTTTCTTGAAAGTGTTTAATTATTGCAAGAAGAAAGCCCATGTTAAAAACACAGACTTTGGCTTTTGGCTCAAATGAAACAATTAAAACTCAAGATTTTAGCCGCCCACAAAAGCCAAATGTTCTGTACTGATCTTCAGCTGAAATAGGAAAATATGAACCAGAAATGAGTATTTCCAGATGTGCTTACAGATACTTTGTGTTTCCTAGTTTTAACTGCTTTCCCACTTTCGCAATTCTAAACTTTATGTCAACCTTAATTCATAAAATGGGAGGATTTAGGGCCAAATGCAGCCCTGGCAAAGGATGTGACTCCTCTGGAATCAGCAGTTAGACCCCAGATAAATCAGACCCTCTCCCACTTCACTTTTGCACCTCATTTCATGTGACTGGAACACATCTGAGAAGAATTAAATGTGTTCTAACACCATCCATTCAGTTGGTGGGAATAAGCAATATATTTCATACTGGGAACACCATCATTAGATGCTGGGAATAAACAGCTTAAGTTAAACATCACAATAAAGGAAGAGCTGGTCAACTGAAGTCAACTGAATAAAAAATGGGTAGGAAACACTGCTTTTTTTTTCCTCTGATATATATTATCTTTGCTAAAAGACTCCAAAGAGAAATCCTCATTTGCCTCACCATTCTATGTCAATACAATGGAGAAGGCTCTTCTGCTTTGTTACTGCAGCATTAATTGGGCTGACCAAGCACCTGAGTGCCCCCCTCAATAGAGCTGGGTCACTCACCCCTCAGGCAATGCACAGCCCTACAACTAAGCAGCAAAGATGTGGAGGATTTTCCACCTTGCAGTCTGGTGGGCATTTCTCATCTTTCTTCTCCTCTTCTCCTCTTTGAGGATATACCTACACAGTGCACTGCTGCTGAGAAACAGCTGAAAACTGACCTTGGGCCTCCCATGTTTCAAGCCCTGTCTGAACAGACTGAGCTACAGATACAGGTGAACATGAAGAGGTGAAAAAGACCTTCTCATAGTTGGTGTATCCCCCCATGACTGCTGGGTCCACGATCCCATTCAGGAGCATGGAGAGGGGATGCACAGGAAGGCTCCGGTCCCAGACATGTTGCTGGACAATGTTGCTGATCTTCTCATTGGTGAGCTCCATTGTCTCTATGGCATTCTCCAAAGGGCTGATCTCTTCCTGAGGGGAAGAAGAGACAGAATAACCCTCCACCTGCCTCCACTGAATATGAAGTTAAGCAAGCATAGAAAGGCAGGCACATCCAATATCCACTTTGGCTTTTATCTTAAGCAGAAGTTACTGGTGTGCCACATCCACCAGTGGAAGGACAAGCAGTCCCAACTGGTACAAGACTCTGCCCCACAAAAGGTTAGAGGGGATGAGACCCAGCCCATATGCAGAACTCACTGTTGTAATCTGCTTGACTTCAAACCACTTCAGGATGCCTGGAAATGAATAGGCTGCCGTGTAGGTTGTCCTTTCTATCCACATGTTCTAGTTAGAGAAGGAAAAAAGTCCAAGATGTAAAGAAAATATTGGTCTTGCAATTCAATTCTCTTCTGGGGTAGATCATGTAACCAACACTAGCTGGCAGGACTTGCACAGCAGCTTTCACCTGCACTAACTGGGATGGAACCCAGTGGTTTTGGCAATCACCTCTACTATTTCAGTGGTACCAACATGAGCAGCAGGAGGCTGTTACACTCTGTGTGGATGGGTCACTGGTAG